GTTGTGTTTAAATTGGACCACTTTATACCAATTCAGAGCATTTGGGGTTGGGAATATATTTTCATTTAACATTGTTTGATGAGGACTAATGTTATAGAGAAAGAATAGTATAAAAGATAGTGAACAAGACTAATGCTGATATCATGTATATCTTGTAATACAGAGCTGTTTGATAAATAGTTATAACTTACGATTTTAGAGTAAAACAGAAGGTAGCAATTTAACTAATCAATTTTCTCACTTCAAGGTGAATTTAAAGACTTGACTAGTTTTTATTTGTTGATTTTAAGTGGACAAAATGAATTTAATTAAAACATTTGAATCATGTGAATTTTACAAGTACTGGCTAGACAACTATAATGGTGAAAGGATTTTCTCAGTTTTGAAATTAGAGTTTTTGTACAGCATCTGAAATTCTAAAACTATATCCTAACTTCTGGGCAAAGTGTTTGAATATATTTAAAGTTAAGACTGCCTTATTTAACAGCATAATCTTGTTACTATTCAAATTCCTATGTAAATACCTTAGATAACATTTTGTAATGAAATTATAAATTCATTGCATTCAGGTAGCCTGCAGCAATATTGAGCTACCCCTCCCACCAAAATAGTAAAGCACAATTTAAATATCATGTTCATATGATAAACAGAAAAGTGTTTTTCTTTGAATTATGTATGTATGTACCTTTATGCAATTCAACCTGATAAGGCAAAAGAATATAAATTAAAATAAAAAACAGGATTTGCAAAGTCCTATCATTAGGCATACAAATTTTTCTCCTGGGCTTAGCATTCTATATTTGCTAAGCACTAAATAGGTGAAGAAAAAAAAAAAAAAAAAAAAAAAAAAATATTTCATCAGTGAAGGAGATTCCAACAATTATAGAAAAATGTCAACATTCAATAACAATTTGAATGTAATTTATAGAAAAAAATATCTATTGCTATTGAATTCATAATCTAAAAACTAATACAAAGCTAATATACATGCTGTAAGCATTAACAAGGTACTGAAATCCTCTTTTAATTAAATCAATAGTTTTAATCCAGAGAGTCGGCATCATGACTCAGCATATTTCAGTCACTTTTATGATGTGAAAAGTAGCCTAACATTTGCAATTTATAACAAGCCCTTTACGTTTATTCTAAACAGAGAATTTATTATTTGCCAAGATCACTGACATTTTCTCTCAAGAGTGAAATTGAAATTAATTTATCCAGACATAACCAATCAAACAAGACATGCCCAAATCTGCTAGAGAACTGAAATGTCACTCTTCCGGAGTTATCTTTACAGATACAAACAACAAGTTTACAATTAGTCTATTTTTGTGCTAACTTGGGAGGATGCAGGATAACAAAGATGCCTCAGGCATCTTTGTACTACATTTTTACGTGATTGGGGTACTAATAGAAATCTCTCTCTCTTTTTTTTTTTTTTTAAAACAAGATGACAGAATGATATAAGACAGATTTTAAGGTGTTAGTTTGGTATGGAGACTATAGTGAGAGAATTTAATAGCAGCAGGACCCCAAGAAAAGGTGGGGAGGTAGAGTCAATCAGTTACTGAAAAAAAGGACTTGGTGATTCTTTTGGACACCTTAACTACAAACAAATGTGCTGTTTCTCAAAGAAACAGCTTTTAAACATGCTTGTGTAGAATTAGATTATAAAAAGAGTTGCATCATACTTAAGCCTCACATCTTTCAGTCAGTGAGCTTGTGATAGGCAAAGTAAATAGCAGGGAGTCATACATACTATTCAATTGCTGATTTTCTTCGTTGGTGCTATGATACTTACCAGCTCGGCTACACAAAATTTAAATGATTTTCTACTTTAAATTACCACGTAAACAAAGAACGAGAGAAGCAAATTATTGAACAAGAAACAAAATAAAATAAAAACATTACTTTTTCGATAAGAATAGAATTTAAAAAAAATATAAATTGATGGGCTTTTTCGGTTGATCGGACACGCTTAGGAAAAGCAGTAGCAAAGTTAATTTTTTTGTCACTGTTGTTCGGGAAATTTAATTCATTTGTAAAGTTAAGAGCTTTTATTCGAGCATGACATTAAAAATAAAGATAATTCGACTGTTTTGGTAAAGTTAAAGTAGAACCCCCCCCCCCAAAAAAAAACTTTACTATATTGTTTTCGTGAGCGTGCCCAGTGAACGATAGTCGCGTCGTGCCAGTTTTAAGTGAGTATAATTCACTAAACAAAAAAGGGAGCAACTATATTTGTTTTCATTGCAACAACAAACAAATATCATTGAACACATGTACAAAGCATGAGGGAAAGTCTATAATTTTAAAAGTTTTTTTTGTAACTTGTTCTACACTTTTAAATGCATTTTTTTAAAATTCATTTTTTAAATAAATATTAAAAAGATATTTTCTTAAATAAGAAAAACAGGCATTTTTGCACAAACGTTTCAACAAAACGTGATTTTTTTTCAGTGTAAGAAAAAAAAATCCTCACGAATGTAAGTAAATGTGTCCTCTTGTGATAAAACCTCTTGTTTGTTCAAAGCATTTAAAAACGGATCTCCTTGAATAAGAGGCCAGTAATATAAACAAATAAAAAAACCGTTGGCGAGTTACCCTCCAAAAATGTAGGGCACTCCCCCAACCGTTCAAAATTAAAAAAAGAGGGGGGGCTATGAGCAGAAACCAAAAATAAAAAAGTTAAAATAGAAATAAAGGTGAGAGTAGTTATTACCACTACAGCTGCTGCTTGCAGTCGGAGGAGTCTTTTGTGTTAAGTTATATTTAGGCCCAGCAGTTCTTCAAGGTGCGTGTGTGGGGGTCAAGATGGGGGGAATTGGGCGTCTGGGGAGGGAAAACATTTTGTTGTTTCCTTGTTACTTTTAGTTTTATAAGCATTGAGATTTTTTTTTTAAGAGGGGAAGAGTGATGGTAGAGGTTACAATTTTAAAGAAACAGTGATAGTGAAAGTAGGACCCCCACCACATATTTACAGAACGAAGAAATGAAAACTCGAGCATCTTTTTGTAGCCCCAACCATACTTTCAATTGTGACCTAAAGAGTTAGGACATCAACTAATTAATAATATAATCATAGTCCTCTTCACTGGCGATGATATCCCGATCTTAGTTCATGATTCAACCTTTTTTTTTTTAAACTGCAACAAAAATCCATTTAGAAGGTGTTCTAAAAACCGTGCTCCTGTTTTCAAAGGAAGATTTTTATTCGCAGGCGCCGAGGTATCAAGCTGCGTTCCTAAATAAATGCCCTTTCTTTGCATTCAAAACCTGCCAAATGATGCCTTTTTTTTTTAAACAATTTTACAGTGAGAACACATTCACAAACTTCTGTCAGTATTTCTTAATTTAAATGAGTGAAAGAGAAAAAAGAAAAAGAAAATTGTAACGGAGTGTAGGAAAAAAAAATATAAGTTTGTGCACTTTTTAACTAACAGAACTGTTTGAAATGGACATTAAAAGATTTGAGCGGAATTTATTTTTGTAGTTTGAAAATTAAAAAAAGAAAAAAAGATAATTGGTAATTAATTACTATCTGCCAATGCGGAAAGCAGTCATCACCTATTCTGCGGATTTTACAAGTACAGTAAACAATTTTTTTTTTACCATTTCAAGCCGACCTAATAGTTTTTAAAAGCCATCAATGTCTAATAAATAAGTCAAGTATAGATTGAATTAAAAAAAAAAAAAAAACTAAAACAAAACATTCATCCTTTTTTGCGCTATTTTTTAAATTTTTTACGCACTAGAGAATGACGAATGGTTGAGGGACTTATTCTTACTTTTGAATAGTTTTAGGTTTCCTTGAACTCAAGGTGCTATAAAATAAAACTTTTATAGCACCTGGAGTTCAAGGAAAGAAATTGATGAATCCAATTTTAAAAAAAAAATAAACCTGAAGCCGTTTTCAAGTACGCAACTGAATTGTACCAACGGTCTTGGCATAAATCTTCATATCGTTTTTGATAGGAGATAATAAAACAGATATCTATATATTAGTTTTATCACAGTAATAAATATATTTTATGGCGAATAAAACGAAACAGTATCTCGTCAAATCTGGGCACAGCAAGCCATGTGGGTTTAACAAAGAGACGGCACTAGTAGTTAGTTAACTGAAAAAAAATGTAAAACACGACTTGTTGGTCACAAATTGGGGGTTCAAAGCAATAGAATGATGAACACATGCTTCCAAATCAGTGATTTTAAATTAAATTGAGGAGAAATAGTCTGAAAACAAAATTTAATAAGCAACTTTAAAAAAAATATATTTTACTGTTTTTAGAACAAAGAAGAGTTTGTCAAAGATGATTTCCAGTAATGATCAAGCACTCAGTATAATTTACTACTGAAATTTGAAAATAAGTAAAAAAATTGTAGTTTTCAAAAAAATAAATAAAATAATCTAATTTTTAATAATTTATTCTTTTTAGTTTTACATTTCCTTTTTTTCTTTTTTTTTTTTTTTGAAATACACCCACAGCATTTCATTATTTTGAAATAATCTCGAAATTAACTTTTAAGGACAATTAATAAATCCCACCTTCTTAAGAGTTAAAAATTCTGAAAGAAAATAATTATAAATTTGTAAATCTTCCATCGTAATTTTTTCAAGGATCATGTTTCACTTTAAAATAAAACGGTCATATTTTTCTTCATCTTTTCATCACTGACATTATGTCTCAGTTGCCAACAATTTTAAACGGAAATAAATATATATATATATATATATGTGTGTGTGTGTGTATGTGAATTCATAAAATAATATCATTAGACATTAGGCAATAATTTAATTAAGTCCGGTAAAACTCAAAACTTAAATGAAGACCAAACTTCAATAAGGCATGGTTAAAAAAATCCATGTCCAAAAACCAAATAGATAAAAGTACTAAATAGGTGTTACTATCAGGAAAATAACTAAAAATAAACAGCGATTTTATCATTGGCTCAGATTTATAACACAAGATATAAAAGTAAAGCCGCTTGTGAGAATAAAATTATAAACTGGATTCTGTGGTTCTTAGTTACAAATAACGTAAAAAGATAAAGGAGAAATTTATTATCTCCATAAATGCGTGAAGGAAGATGCTTGTCCATCTTGCAACAGATCATATTTAAATAACGACAAACCGGTTGAATCTAAAATTCTAGCTTAAAAGCTGAGACACAAACATTCAAAGATCATACAAAATATAAAAATTTAAGAAAAAAGAAATATATAAAGTAAGTCTAGAATGCATGGAGTGAGAAAAAGATAACATACTTCCAAGAGTCTGGTTGATTAGGACAAAGAGTTATCTCCCCACAAGTGTTCTTCCAAACGCACACGACTGCTTGACAATTTTTTTTTTTTTTTTTTTTTTTTTAACAAAACACTTTTGTTGCCCATGTTATGAACTCTTCAAAAATCAATAATAATATATTAAATTATATATTCGAATAAAAATCTGTATACTCATAATATATATTTTTATTTGAATTTTGCTTCGATTCAATCGGATGTTTGTGCGGTGCATATGCATTACGTACTCATACTATTTCCGGTTAATCTTGGTCAGGTAGCATCAACATGTCTGCAATGACGTTTACTCTCAGCTTTCTTGAGAACCCAAAGAAACATTCTAATTCCATTGCATTAGGTTCTTACCGCGATCAACATTTTAAGGTAAGAGTATAATCTGTAATCTTATTTAAGAAAATAAAAAATGTTACGTTGAGCACTTTTTCAAAACATTTGAAAAAGAAACGTTAAATGGGAATTCTAAATTTTGAACACGATGTTATTGCTCATTCGAGACACAGAGAATTAAAAAATACTTTTTAAATATTTGATTGTTTAACTAAGATACATTTTACACATAAATAGTAATAACATTTTTAACCATAATTTAATTTCTATAGCAAAGGTAAAACATCATATATTTAACTACTTTAGTTATTAGTTTTTATGTTTTCCCAAAACTTTTTTCGCTGAAATATTTACCGACTGAATATACGGCATTAAAAAATAAAAAATACATAATTTGCTTTTAATAAAATTTGTTCATTTTGTTATTGAGGAGTAAAAATTAAAAGTAGAAAATATCGTAAGGTTGAAAAATCAATTTATGAACCCTAACTTTTAAGGAAAACCATTTATTGTACGATTGGAACCGACATATAGGCAATAAAACTTATATGCCGCGAAAGTATATCGTTTAAATAAATGTTTGTGTTTACAATATTTTAAATTTGTTTTTTTTAAAAAAAAGAAAAGTTTTATACACAATTACATGGATGTTTTTATTCTATTTTAATTTGTTCGTAGTTAAAAGTTGGTTTAAATTTAAAACTTAGTACTGCTGAATGGTGGGGGGGTGAGGAAAAACAAACAAAAAAGCGTCTTTCCACGATAGACTTGTGTTGAAAATTTCTACCGACTGTGAAATGATTTTGTAAATAATGCAAATTTTAATTAAATCAATATTTTTAGATTTTTATGATCTTTGTCACGGATTCCTAGAAATTTATCTTTTTTTTTTTTTTTAAAAGAGAAAAAAAACAAACTTTTTCCGACTAAAGTAAAAACATTCCTTGTTTAAAATTTTTATTTTATAAATAAAATATCTGCGGATTTCATGCCGGAAACCAATATACTTGGTATAACCCACAGCTGTTTGAGGGTTCCCGCATAGCCCCACTAAACTTAAATTTAAATAAAAAGACAACTCGGGTTTGCTATGGTTAAAATAAAATTTTCTATCCAAAGTAAAATCATCACAAAAATGGCAAAATTCTGTCACAGCTTATTTTTTCTGAAAATATGGATTTTCATACTTTTAGGGGTAAAATATTGAAAAATGACCTTTTTTTATCATCATCTGAACAAAATATCAAGGAAACTTTTGATAAATCCCATGAAACTAGGTATTTTAAAGCAAAAAACAATATGTTCTTTCATTTAGAAGTAAAATTGGATGGTGTACTGTAGTGTAAATGATTCAAATTTTTTTTTTCTATCAGCTGGTAAAATGTGAAAAAATAGTGAAAATTTTGCATTTTTTAAAGTTCTAAACTAAAAATTTCCCCAATAATGGGAAATTAACAATTTTTTTTTTTTTAAATCGGAAAGCCTAAATCATAATCAAACTATTTCAGTCATAAAATTGAGTTTGAAAAAAAAAACAACATTCCTAGAGGGTCAAACAAAATGCAACAAAGTCCATTGGTAATTTTCAATTATATAGCCGCCAGGGGTTAAAAAAATTGACACCTGGACATGGAAATCTTTAATAAAAGGCGAAAGATTTATCCACAGTTCCTGACCACCGGAAACCAGGAGTTTAAAAAAAAAAAAAAAAGTAGCAGTGATAAGGAAAATTTAATCAAATTGATTTGACATATTTGGGCCAAAGGCCAGCCAGCAATAAATGTTAGAACAAGCTGTCATCAGCTTGTAAATCCTACCACTTACAAGATAAGAGCAAAGAGGGAATATTGGTAAAAAGGGCTTGATATGGGTTTTTTTTTTTTTTTTTTTTACTGCATGTCTTTAATATTTCCTATCATTGGGTCATATAGCGGTTCCTTTTATTCTGTGATGTTCATACCAACTTAAAGAGAAAGGATTGAAATTTGAAAAAAAAAATTATTCTTCATAAAAAAGTGATTTTCTCAGAAAATTGGCTATAATTTTTTAATGCTAACTCTTGAGTGACATTTTTCACAACCAAATCGAAGATTAATTACCAGTGAATAATTCCATGTGCAAACAATAGCTATCTGGATCCTATAACATGGCCTGAAAACATCTAGAAGTTAACTGATTGATTGAAAACTTGTTGCACATAATTGTTTTCCATGGTCAGTTTCCATTATTTCCTCTTGATGATGTCATTTTTGGACAGCCAAGTCATCAAGGATTCAGGAAAACAGTTTGGCAGAGGTTTGCTTTGAGAACTTTGCATTCTATGAGTGGTTTAAATGGGATTTTTCGCCGAATATTTCGTTCGAGTGCCATGTTAGATTTTGCTATATGACAAAAACAAGCATTTTAAACAGCTGTGAACCAGGTTGGGGATTCATTTCCCAGACAGCACCTCCCTAACAAAGCAGAGTTAGGGCATGCCTTCTATGGCAAATGAAATGCTTGTGGATTGAGTACATTCTGAATGTAACCACATACAAAAGTGTGCTCTGGTTTTGCATTAAGCACTTTTGTCACATCTGTCTTGAAGTGATCAAATAGATACCTTAAAATTCAAATTTTACCAAATAGCATAAACCTAATGATATTTTAATGTCGTAACAACTCATTCCAAAAATAAAATGCATATCATTAATTCAACTTCTACATGGTTGTAAACAAGTATCTTTGCTATTTAAAGTAAAAGCATAATTTCTCCTGGCACCAAAGATGCTCTCTTCTGAAAGAAGTTTAAAAAAATTGCCCAGTATTTTAAGGGCCTATATTCTATTTGCGGAAATACATGAGAATGTTCATCTTTGTTCCAATATCATCTCCTTAGTGTCTTTTGCAAACTTTTTTCGAGGTTATTATCAAGAAAGTTGTTGAACACCTCAACTGAAACAACCTTCCAAGCCATAAACAGTGTGATTTTTTTGCTCCTCTATATCCACTGCTGATGGCTTAATTATCTCTTTGGTCCTACTCCGTTTCTACTTTATATTGACAATCTGCATACTATTTTTAGTAAATAGATATGCAAATAATATCATAGTTTATGAATGCACTTCCAAAAATCTAGATGACCAGAGCCTGGGAGCTAATCTCTCTGCTGATATAGCTCTTGCATCTCAATGGGGTAAAGATTATCTGGCATCATTCAATACCTCCAAAACACAGCTAGTAACATTTCATCACCACTAAGCAGACCCTAAATTTATTCCAGTCTTAATAAGCAGTTGTACTCTCAATGAGGCTACTTATGTTGAATGTATATTGGCACTAAAGCTCATTCTAGAACACAAGTTGAACTTGTGTATTTGTAGTATCACTAAAGAAATTGGTAGAATGGTTGGTTCCTTGTACTGTACCAGAAAGTATCTGATTCCTCCTGTCATGCTTTCTATACAAGAGTTAGAATGGAGTATTGTTGCCATATATGGGCTGATACTGTCCAATCCTCACTGTTCAGGCTTCAAAAGTGATTACTAGGCCTTTTGAATTATTTTCCACTCTGTAACTCCTTTCTCACAGACAAAATGTTGCTAGCCTCTTACTAATCTATTACTATTTTGATGACAAATGTTCAGATTACAGCATTCATTAGTTCCACTAGTTCAAACGTTCACAGCTAGGATCCTCCATGCCATGTATACAGTGTTAAATCCTCCTCCTTCCTTTCAAATTCCTTTGGTACGAAGGAAGTAACAGACAGTTTCTACCTGAGAAGTGTCACTTTGTAAAATACTTCTGAGAAAATTCTTCCCCAACCACTGCAATGTTAACTTCAAGTCTTGGGTCAACTGTTGTCTATCCTACATATCCTCATGTATTTATTACTTGCTCCTTTTATTTCCTTACAACAACCTCATTCAGTAACACTCTACCTTGATTGGCTCTCGGACATGGTATTAAATGAACAATGGTGCAAAAATTTAATTTTGTCTTTACTTTTACAATAAAATTTTGAAAGTCAAAATTGAGCTGCAATCTTAGTTGCTATTCAGCAATTACTTAAAAGAATAACCATCCACCAATAAAAGAAAAAAGTTCTTGTTGCCTGTTCCCCAACATAGCACTGCAACACTTATTCCAATCATACAACAGTGGGTGAGACCTAACATGACCATAAAGTTCAATTTGTGGGCTGCTTAATTGTTAATCAATTAGCAAGCTGGTTTTGACTATGAAACCATGAATCACAGGTACCAATACATTGACCCAAACGCTGGTTCAGTAATAAATCATATGGAAGCTGTGTAGTGAAGGCACAAATCAAAGCAATGCAAGGGCCAACAAATTGTCATATGATGGGTGATTACTTTGCACATTTTATGTGGCATCAAAGATTTAAAATTTTATTTTTAGCATCAAATCACCACAAATTTATATCCTGTTTAATATTTGTTCTTGAATCTGTATAAAATTGAAAACCCCTTTGTTGATGTTAATTTTTTTTTTCTTGCTTGAAAATATAAGTTTTCAGATGTTCAATTTAAATGTCATAATGTAAACATGATTTTTTTTTTTTTTTCTGAAAGGGGAGCGCCAGAGTATAATAGCATCTATCCTTAAAGCCTGGGAATATGGTAATCATCAATATAGTGTCAACATGAACCCATAAGTGTATTGGATTAACAATAAATAGTAAAACTGGGAATCTCATAAAAGCTTTATTTACAATGAATTCAGTGATGTTATAAGAAATTGTTTAATTTGATGTTTAGTTAGATTTTGTAACTTAATTTATAACTTGTTTCTGTACAGATTTTTTTTTTTTTTTTATATCTATAAGCTGATTGATTGACCAAATTGATGAACTGACATTGCTTTTATTCTCAGAATATGTATGAATTGACGCAAGAGTTTATAACATCATTTTTTGCAAAAGGTTTGATAATTTTTTAAAATTGTCTTTGACATTTACTCAGTTCTTTATTGCTTTTACAATCAGTTAAGTGCCAGGTGTCATTGGTCTTAGAAATATGGATTCCACAAACCTTTGAAAAGCAACCTCACTGTTTAACCTATATCTTCTTTGTATCAGTTTAAACAGGCACCTTTTTGTTTCATATATTGTGACCATTTTTCTTGAAATTGTATCTTTTTGATTTTGGGTTGAAAACTTAGAAATTTTCCAGCATATTTTAGTGAAATTTTCCCTTTCCACATTTATAGTTTAGAACAGTTAAATATGTTTAAATTTAGCTGCGAGGTAATCTAAGGTCATAGAAAGCTAATTAAAATAATTGAATGACTGAATTTATATATTATATATACTATGAATTTATGTGAAGAAAAGATTGATTAAACATTTTTTTTAAAATCTTATTTATTACAGTCAATTGTACTGAGATATTTGTCATTTCATATATCCATAAAGAATAAATCTTTGAAATTTATTTATTTAAATTTTTTTTTTTTTAATGCATTAATCAAACGTGTTTTATTTTCTTTTGGAAAACAAAAATAAATTCATGACACAAGTTAACATATTCTACAAGTTGTTGATACAAATGTAAATTAGGGTTTTCAGGATTAATTTAGGGCAATTTCATATAAGCCATTATCTCTCTTTGTGTGTGAGTGTCAGTACCTTTTCTATTGTTGGCTTTAAAATAGTCTTCTGATTAAAAAGATACTAGAGAAATAAGTCCTTTTTGTTTCACCTTGAATATTGTGATAAAAAAAAAACAACTCTAAGACATTAATGATGAAAGTACTTTCTCAGTTCAACTTAAAAGTATTGATTCTCTCAAATGTGTGGGCAATCATTTCTGTGTATTGCATTTCAAAAGAGGAATTAGGAAGAGCATTTAATGGGTAGTTATTTTTCTCAGTAGATCTCCAGTAAACTGATTTGATTTTGAAAGAGAAATGTTTACATGAGACACAATAATAGTTGATATTTAAATGTTTGGAACTGCATGTAGTTTTGGTGCATACATAAACTTAAAGCATTGCTGATTTCTGGATAACTATTTTTGCAAACACTAAAGAGGCAATCTTCACAGGGTTGCATGCTTGATGTTTTTAGCACTTAATTTGACAATTATTAGTGTGTATTATTGATGATATAATTTTCTGCTTTGTGCATTGCAGGAAACTTAGATTTTCAACAATGATACAACTGGAGAATAAAAAAAAATGACTTGCTGTTGTGAATTTTATTTGCTGTTATTGCAAATCATGATTCCCAAAAGGAAAAAAAATATACTGTGAAAAATAGTGTTCTGAAGATATTTTCTATATTTGTAATTTTACAGAAGCAATTGTTTATGTTGATTTCTGTTTTTTGCTCTTCAGGGTGGTAGGAGTGAACAAGAACGGTATTTACTGCACAGTACTACCCTCTATATTGGCAATCTATCCTTTTATACCACAGAAGAACAAATCCATGAACTTTTTACCAGATGTGGAGATATCAAGCGCATTGTCATGGGTTTGGATAAAAATACCAAGACACCTTGTGGTTTCTGTTTTGTAGAGTATCCTTTCATTGTCCTTTTTGTTTTTTCTTTGTATTTAGATGAACTTTCAAATCTTTGTTAAATTGTGATCAGGTTGCAGCAAATTTTAATGATTAACATTTGTGAAATTTCCTATTTGGATGTAGACGAGTATATGTAAACATAACTATTATTATTCAGTTTCTTTCAAATACTTTGTTTTAGCTGTTGCATGACCTTTATTAGTGGTAATGCAGCCAGTTTATGCTTAACCTTGTTAAAGGGAATGTAAAAAAAAAAAAAAAAATTCTGGACCAGGCTAGAAAGAAAAGTAGATTTTGGACATTTTATGACACTTCTTAACACTACTAATGCTACTTTGCTCTTCATGAATCATGTTGGATGTTAAGCTTCGCATGCTCATGTTGACAATCTCTTGAAAAAGCTCAGCTTTTGTTTGATAAATGTTTAAATCATAAAAAATAGATTTTGCTTGCATTGTGTATTCATTTCCTCTAAAATAATATGAAATTATCAATTTCGAAAAGATATTTCTGAATATTATTATTTTTAAATATTGCCATTTTATCATAATCCATATCAGAAATGGATATCACTTCTTAGGCAAATCTCTATTGCTTTAAGAGAATAACTGATATAAGATTATTTAGAGAGCATTAAAAAATTGAGCTCCATCATTTTTATTTATCATTAGTTAGGATCATTATTCGTTCTCATTGTTTAACATTTCATAGAGATAGAGAAAAAAAATTATAACTAGACGTAGAAACTGTTCATAATTTGTTTTGACATTGAGGAACTAATTAGAGTAATTCTTATAAGAAAAATAGGGAAATCATTTGTAGATTAGCATTCATTAGACCTTCCTTAAAATTTATTATGGATTTAGAAAGGGAGGTCCTGTTTATAATATCAATACACTGTCAAAATTGATCTGACTTTTACTGGGCTGTTGGCCTTAGCAGTTTTGCTTTTTTTTTTTTTTTCTTCTTGTGGTGAAGGAGGGGAGGTTACAAAAGATGTATTTTAAAACCAGACAGACATATACAAATTTTAATTAGGAAACAAAAAGTTTATATAAATTAATAAAATTACATATCTATTTATTCTTCATTAAAGATAAATAATTATGAACATATTTGTGCATGTACTTCTGAAAAAATTCATACAAAAAAAAATATTTTTGGAAAAGGTTTAAAGAAAAAAAAAAAAAAAGTAGGGTGTTAGGGTTGAAAAAAAATCAGAAAAAAATGTGAATATGAATGATGTTAGCACAGTTTCTAACTTGATTTTCATAAATAACTGCTACACAAAAGTCAGGGATCGATTTGACACTGTATGGATATTATAAACAGGATCTTCATTTTAAGTCTATAATGAATCCATATTCTTTTGATTCTGACAGGTTTCATGACCTAAAGATGGCTAATCAACCTCTCCCCACCCCCCAATTTTTTTCTCTACTTTTTTATGAGTGGACTCAGTCTATTTAAGTAGTACCAACATTTAGAAGCAAAATATCTTTGTCATAGGAGACAGATTTAAATTTTAAGTTCTATTTATTCAGTTGAAAGTGTCTTATTCATTTAACACGGTATGTATGAATTAGAATATTGACTCATTTCTGATAAAACCAGGTTGTTGCCATGAATTTTATTTTCTTTCTTATACAAACTTCTAGATAAGCATGGAAACTAGAAATGTCATTTGCTGATGTTGAATGATGTAATCCATATTCTTTCCTTAAGTTGTTCTCAGATATTATGAACGTGATGATGCAGAAAATGCAATGCGTTACATTAATGGCACAAGGCTTGATGATCGTATAATCCGTACAGATTGGGATGTAGGATTCCGAGAAGGGCGGCAATATGGCAGAGGAAAGACAGGAGGGCAGGTAAGTGCTTTATTATTTTTATATCCTCTCTCTACCCACCATCATTTTTAATTTGATTGAATATAGGATTAACTCCCCTCCTTTTTGCATTTGTATGACGTGTATAGAAATAAGTTTTATACAACATTTTTATAAGTGTTTTCATTTAAATTGTTTAAGCAAGTCAAAATCCCCTTCAAATATGAAAAATTAATGCATCTTTCGAAAGTAAGTAAAAGTTTTTGTTTTTAAATTGTGCTATTTCTGAATCATGAAATTTTATTTTTTTTCAACTATAAATATCATAACAATAATTAATGCTTTTATATATTTCCTGTCCTACCTATAGTAGGAAAGGTGGGGGGGGGGTAAATCAAGTTAGTAAATTTGAGTGATTACTTCCCTTGGTCACTTTAATCTATATGAAGTAAATATTTATCTGCATTTGGACAAAATAAGTTTCCAAGTGAAATAAACTGTTTAATTAATCAGTACCTTTACTCCTACATTTCTTTGATTGCAGTCTTATTTGTTCAAGCCTTTCGTGTGATGCTCTCAGTCAAGAGAATATTTACAAAATATCAGATGACATTGTACTTATTTTAATGAAATAGAAAAGAATGCATGGTAGCATTTTTTTTTTTTAACTTTTGAATATTACTGCTTATGTTGCTGTTTTTTTTTTATTTTATTTTTTTTTTATTTTTTATTTTTTTATTTTTTTTTTTTTACAAATATTTGTTTTGGAATTTTTTACTCTTCTGTAATTTTTCAAATGGTATCTAATGTTACATTTTGTTTCAAGAATATACTGCACAACTCTGATATTGTATAAAGTGAAGGGGATTCTCTGGTAATAAATCAAGAGTTTTATATTTTTATTTAAAGATCATGGTTTATGATTGTGATTGATTTACTCAAAAGAAATATCAATGCATTTTAATGCAATCCACTTTAACAGTAAAGCATTAAATAACATGTAATACTCTATATTTGGCTTAAACAGGCTGGTGTCAATTCCTGCAAAATGATACAGAAATTAGCATCAGCATGATTTTATTCTCTCAACTATTTAAATTTCTCTAAAAAATGGATTTTTCTGACTGTATTGGTAGACTAAAAAAAATTTACCTTTACTCACCTGCTACAAAAGATATTCTCTCAAAAAAGTGTGTCAGTTAACCAAACCTTTTGTACTAATCTATCAAGAAAGAGATAACGTTAAGCTTTAAACTCTGCCTTGCTTTTAAACATTAGTTTGATTGTACAGTATTTACATTAGTCGGACTATTGTCCTCATCTTTGTCGCCATATTTGTCACAACGTTTCGGCCATTGTACGCTCTGGCCTTCTTCAGGTGGTTGGAATTTCGAACTGGGGTAGACTGTTCTAGTTCCACGTGCCATGTTTGATGGATGTCAGTTATCTCCTGCTAATTTTCCCTCTGAAAGTTCTCCACTGCTTTAACCAGGTATTGAACTCACCTTCTTTGGGTCTGTTACTGGATCTAACCAACGCCTTTATCCACTGTGCCATGTGTCCTTGAGGACACATGGCACAGAACAGTCTACCCCAGTGATTGAAATAAAAGGTTCAGTTCAAAATTCCAACCACCTGAAGAAGGCCGGAGCGTATAGAAATATAGACAGACTCTTAGTTTGATTATTGAAGTGTTAGCTTTCATTACACTATTATCATAGTATATCATCAATATTATATTTAGTACTATCATTTCTTTCACTGAATTTGTATTTTGATACCATTTTTAGGATCCACCTTGATGCATATCTAGACGGACCAATTTTCTGTTTCAAATTTTCCTTAATTCCAGTTCAGGTTTTGGCAAATTACACACCCCCCTCCCCATTTTCACTATAGACTGCTGTATTTTTCTTCTTTCACTGTTTTCAGTTTTGGCTTCATTATAATACTTAATGAGAAAGTGTAACAAAATATAAATATTAAAACAAGAAAATAAAAGGAAAATGAAAAAATTTTACCAGCTGGAATATCCATCCATTGACTAAGTTGCTCCAGCTTGATAGGGTTTTGTTCCTCATACTTTTGCCCTTAATCTAAGTTGATGAGGTTTTCTGATAATCCTTGAAATGGAAAGTAGCAAAACCTAGAGAAAAGTAGCACCACAAAATCATCTAGACAAAAAAAGCTACATTATCATTTGATCACTTTATTGAAATTATTAAATAACATTTTGAAAAAAGTCTTTGTAAAATTTGGCTTTCTGAAATGGCAAAATGTCCCACCTCTGTCACTATGTGTGATAGGATAAAGAAAGCTTAAAACAAAAAGACAAAGGGATTTATTATAACATTACAGATTTTATCCTTTGATGTCTATCGGGTGAGAGTTAGGAAAGATAAACATAGGAAGAAATTAAAATGGCAGTTGACAAATTTGATTGTTGGGTGGGGGGAACAAATTCCATTTCAGGTCGGCCATTCTGTTTTTCATAAGCTCCTCTACATATCTTAAAGCTAACTCTTCTCTTAGAAAACACTTTCATATATTATAAAAAAAAAAAAAAAAGGTTTATTTCTGATAGTAATATTGTTGCAGATAAAGGTTAAGGATGTTCAGTAATTTTGATATGAGTATCAGTTATTTGGATTGTAATTCCTTTCTGTTCTTTCTTTAGCTTGCTTCAAGGGAGTTTTTTTTTTTTTATTGTTTTTTTTTGTTTTTTTCCCCCCCCTTTGTTCAGAGACTATATAAGCAGAAATGTTAATGGAATAAATGAGGTAGTTCAATAGTTAGAACAACTCTTGGAATAATAAAGCTTAAGTGTATTTCAATTTATACCTTGTAACTGCTACAATTTTTTTATAACAAGACAGATGTAATTAAATTCAAATTCCCATAACATTGATTATAATTTTAAAATTTAACTACTACTCTAAACTCTGACAAATATTGCCTTTTATGAGTGATACTTCTAATAGTTGATTTCAAAATTTATGAATTTTATAAATGAATCTACAAAACTATTCTGCTACATTTTGTTCATCTCGGTTTCATAATGCATAGAATATAACAGGAATGGCATTACTTGCTTAATGTAAGAGCCACATATGATAAAGTTCAAATGTTTGAGAGCTGCAAGACACAAGCAAAATTTATATGTATTGGAAATCCTAATCTGGTTTTCCAATTTTTAGCATTTTTTTTCCAGTTGAGTATCTTACACCACAGAGCCTTCTTTCAGACAAACGATAGTCTTTCATTTTTCTAGGTCAAGAATGGCCAAGCTTAATGCGAGAGCCACAAGGCATGAACAAACTTTACACGTTTTTGTTACATATTTTCTTACAATATTTTAATATAAATATTAAATGCACATATAGAATAATTTTTATTCATGTATGGAGTTTTTTGGTTAAACTGTTTAATCCAATAGGTTCCAATTTATACCCAGTAAGTAATTATAAAGCTTGAAATTTCTCTTATTTACCCTTTTTATATTAGCTGTGTTGAAAAAAGCAGCCCAGCCAGCATATTTTCATAAACTGCATATTAAAGGTCAAAGAGACGTATGTGGCTCACAAGTTGTGCTTTGGCCACCTCTGGGATATAACATACTGCTAAATAGTGGAATTCTTGCTTGTGAAAGCCTGCAACAATCAGTCTTTTCATAAAATGTCATGGGTTATCATTTGTTTCATCTTAGAATAAAGACATAATTAACCAAAAGGAAAATTTAAATGTTAACTCTAAGTTATTTCCTATGACAAGATTATATATATTCAGAGTGATTGTAAAGTAACTCCCTATTTTAAGTATGAGTGGCCAGCCAGGAGTCCTGACTTAATACACTGTGACTTTTTTCTTTGTGGTTGGTTAAAAGAGCAAGTCTACGATACCAAACCAAGACTTTGGAAGAACATGATGGGTGAATACAAGAAGTTATGTCTTCCATACCACAAGAATTCCTGGTGAAATCAGTTGATGCAATTCCTGGGCAGCTTGAGAAGCTGGTAGTGAAATCTGGTGCCCATATCAAATTTTAAATAAAACCTCATGTTAAATGCTTTCCTCTTTTACCCATTTCTTGTAAAAAAAATTATAATTAATAAATTATAAGTATTTTAAAATGGGGAGTTACTTTTCAATCACCCTGTATATCAGTCTGACACAGACTGATATTATTAAAAACCTATTGAGTTTTGCAGTGACTCTAGTTTTATCTATTACTATTTGAAAATATATAATCAGTGGTAAATCTATCTCCTCAATGCTATTTGGGTTGTGTACATTTTGTTTTCTTTTCCAGTTAACAGAATTTAGGCTACTATATTCAGAAGAATTAAAGCATCTGACAACAATTGAAGAAATCTGTCTGCATATACAGGCACCAAAATTACTCTGCAACCGGCCATTGTACAAAGACAAACATAATTATTTCCCTTTAACAGTAGAATTTTTCAAAATAAAGTAACTTTCCTAGTACATGGCAGTAGAGTGGGGGTGACACTTTATCTGACCTATTTTTTTATTTACCTGCTGTCTTCTAACTTAAACGGAAAGCAATTTGTACATATGATTTTCAATATTTTGAATACATTGGCTATCTTACATGACCTATAGTTTATTTACATTTACTAAAAAAAACAAGTATGGTGTGCAATAAAAACTATAAATTATTTCCTGTGTTGGACTATTTAGAAAATAAAAAATTTCTTTTAAGTTTCAATGCAATTCTATTATAAAATCATATGAAAGGCTTTTCTATAGAAAAATCAGCACTGAACTAGTACATTAAAAGTAAAATACATTAATTTTTAAAAGAAATAAACATTTCATTTAAATATGAATTCCAAGTGTCTTGGTTTATAGCAAATTCCTCTAATTTATTGTCATGTATTTTTTCTTTGCATTTTAAATCAACAAATATCTGATGAAACTGAATGTAGCCATTTATGGGCATCTTAAAAATGGTTGTCCTGCTCAAAGTTAAGAAGCTCCTTTTGTTTGCAGGGAGCAGTCAAAAAACCCAGTTTATGAATTAACTATTAGATGTCATCACTTGATTTGCCTTTTTTTTTATAGTCCTTGTCATTATAAAAATACCTGAGCTCATTTACCAAAGATTTATAATTGAACATTAAGGTATTTGTGTTGCAAAGCATTTGTGTATTACAGAGTAAATGTAGAAGCAAATACTTCAACATTTTTCACATGAAGTAACTCCAAATATAAAAATTCCTCAATGTGAGCAAATCACTCCAATAGTAAAATGTTCTGAACTATTTCAAAATATCTTGCTTTATTATTCACTTGATGCCCTCTTATTGTGAGAAGGAAGTTGGAGTCATTTAATTGTTCAATGTTGTTTTATGTTATGATTAAGAAAAATAAATATAAAGTTATGAAGTTGTAACACTTATATTGCTTGGAAAATAGGGAATTGTAACCACATGTGATGTTCTTAATCTTAATTGTTTGGATAAAAATCTGTAAGATTGAGTAATGAATTGTTACAAATCAAGAACATAAGAGAATTCTATTCTGAGAAATTTTATGTGGATTTGAATTGTTACTTGTGCTCCACCTGACTATCCAAACTGCTGAAGTCACCACTTGTTTAATAAATTTTATCATATATTAGGTAGAAACATGTGAATCATATTGGGGGGTGGTTGGGTGGAGGAAATAATATTTAGACACTATGGGTGTTGATAAAATTTTAATGAATTTGTTTATCAAAAATGTCTTGAGCTTTGAATTTGCCTTTTTTGATTGTTCAAGTCAGTGTGTGAAATCTGTGTAAAATGTCAATTGTGAATTACTGATAAAGTGAGATTAAAAAAAAATTTTGTGGCAATTTAGTGACTTGATCTGAGAATCACATTTTCTTTTTTCCTTTTAGGTACGAGATGAATATAGAACAGATTTTGATGAAGGCAGAGGAGGATATGGAAAGATAGTTGCTGCTAGGATGAAAGTTAACCGTGACATAATGAACTGATGAAGTGGGAGGGGAGATGGATGCATCTTAATTATGGGCCGCAATCAACAGAAAACATGAACTGGCCAGGAGACATTGCTCTTCCTTGCAAAGACTTCCTGCCTCTGACCTATGAAACCATTTTTATTTTTTAACAGGAAAATTTTTTTTCTTTTAAATTATGTTTTAAGAACAGATATGGTTTAAAGGGGTCTCTGGAACTCTTCAGGAACAGAAGATACAAGGCCTAGTGCACTGAGGATAGATAATTTACAAGACTACAACTTTCATGTGTACATTCATTCTATCTTCTAAAATCAACTCCATTGAGCTGGAAGACACTACAGAATTTGCCAGTGAATGGGACCAAAAAAAAATAAAACAAAAACTTTGGTTCTGTTTCATCATGTCCCATTTATTATTTAATCTGTCTGTCTACTAGTGATAAAAAAGCTCTCTCTCTCTTCCTTTCAGCTGCTTAACAGTTATCGTCCATTTTAGCACATCTTTCCACTGTCTTAATCACTTCTTTTTTCTTTTTTTTTTCTTTTCTTCATTGAATTCTATTTCTCACTTGTGAATTAAGGAAACAAGTAAGGAAGAAGAATAAGTCTAATAAAAAAAAAAAAAAACAAAAAAAAAACTGACTTCTAAAGAGAAAATCTGTTTTTATTTTTTGATTGCAGAAAGCAAAACATTGGCATGTACAAGAAAAACTTGTGGGTTAACATTTTGGCTGGTTATGATTCTTTATTTTCAGTCATTTATCAAATTTTTTCTGGTCTGTTTCTCTTAAGATACTGGCCTTAAGGTTTCTTTCTGTCGAGATCAGAAGTTGTGAAAAGTAAAAATTTACTAGTGGACACGTTAGCATATTTATAAAATTGATCAGTGTTCAACTAGATTGAATTTATACAAAGAATGCCAAAATGGAATGATACAGTTTTTGTATATGGTTGTGTATAGAAAAAAAAAATTTTGCTATCAGTGTGCTAAAATTCCAAGTCCTTCTCAAAGATCTCGTTTTATTTGAAAACTGGAGAGGTTGTGATATTAGAAATAAATAACTCGCTTGATTAGAATTATTCTTAACTAGGAGTGCTGGCTTCACTGATTCTTTAAAAAATGAAAATGCACAATCAAAATTTTCTGTTTTCAATATTTAAATGTTGACAGAAAAACATGGCCACTTATAGTGATTTTTGACTCGTATTAAAACTTTAAGCTGCAAATAAATTTAAGTGTTACCCCCAAAATTGCAAGCCATAATAGATTTGTACAAAATATCAGCCTTGTTTCCCCTATAAATTTATCTTGTCTCTGTTTAACTGCAATCTAGTGAAAATGCTTTTGTGTGTGTGTGTATATATATATATATATATATATATATATATATATATATAGGGTTGATGTGAGTTTGTGACCCTGGGTTTCATACTGTGACCGCAAATCCAACTAAATATGTTAGCTCTATCACTGATATTAAGTGCTTTCTAATAAGTACTGCACATATATATAAATAATATTGCATATATAATCAGAATGAAGCAAATATAAATTCAAACATTCAATTTAAAAATAGGGCTCGATACAATAGTAGTGATAATTCCTTATTATAGGATATTACATGCAAACCTGTGTAACTGCTACATAAATGCATTCACATTTTGATGCATATCATCAGGCAGTGGTGACTGATGGTTATTACAATTTTTAAATTTATAAACAGTCTCTTTTCCCGCGAAAAAAGCAAATGCATTGAAACGTGAATGCATTTAAGTAGCAGTTACAAATGTTTGAATGTAATATCCTATAATAATATATATATATATATATATATATATATATATATTTTATATAAAATATGATTTTTTTTTTTTTTTTTAATGGGATAAACAGGCAGTTTGTCTCAAAACCAAATGTTTGAATTATCACACTCTTTTTAATTTGTTCTATTCTAAAGGAGATAACTAGTAGATATTAAAAACAGTCATGTAGCTGACAAGACTGTATTACAATTTCCCTATATTGAATATGTAAATTAGATTTAAATACAAGTTGGTGCTGAAAAGTTTCCAGACTGGCCAGACTTGTTTCTTGGTCAGGCTATGAACTTTTCAGTACCTTGTAAATTTTTTTTTTTTTTACTTTGAGAGAAAAGCTCTGAGAATAAAAATTGTTTTTTGCAAAGATAGACCCATTGTGAATTATGAAAGGTTATCTTGATTTCTGGGCAAAAATAAATTCTATTTGTTACTTACAAATTTTCTATTGTACATTTTTAATTAAGGTATTTGAATTTGTACACCCATACATGTGTGTGTATATAAAATATATATAACGGTTGAAAGTACTCTGATTATAAAAACAAAAGTGAACTACAGAAAGTTTTCCAATAAAAATAACTTTGGAAAAACTTCATAAAAAAACTGGACAGACTATGTGAATATTGTTCAACAAATCTTGTTTAAAAGAATTCTTGCTGCTTTAATACATACACGCACAATATCCACTTTTTCACTAAAACAGAACATAGCATGATGAAAAAATTTAATGAAATTTTCAGGACTTATTCTCAAATGAATTCAATCATTATTTTCGTTTTTTTTTTTTTTTTACCACATCTGTTCCACTTAGTAAATTTTATGAAATTTTTGGAACTTTGTATTTATACTAGTTAAGACCAGTTAGAATCTATTCTAATCAATGTAATTTCTCTTTGAAATACAGCAGAGTATTTTGCTTACTGGAAATAGTTAATTTAATCTTTTACCTTCCAATTAAGCTAAAAATGAAAGCTTCAAGAAAGCTTTTTTTTTTTTTTTTTTTTTTTTTTTTTTTTTAAATTAAACTGAAGGTATCATGATTTTTGTGGACATACATACACACACAACCTTATATTTTTTTTTTTATTATTTTGTTTTAAGTTCTGTATTTGCACACTTGCACATCTTATAAAAGTTAGCACGTACTATGTGTTATAGTAAAAGATTGGTAGCAAGAAATGTCTAAGCCACATCTGTATATGCCAAGTTCAAATACTTTTTCCTCTCAGTTTTTTTCTCTTTATTTTTAACCCTACTACCTCAAGAATTTACATCTATAAGTTGATTCTAAAACTCTGAGTCAACTCACTTAAGATCATTCTTTTAATGACTAACCATCAGAATACTGATTTTGGGAAGTCTGCCATGTTAAGAATAATTCTTTGCCACCACTTTTTTTTTTTTTTTTTTTTTTTTTGATACAAGGACATAAAATTTTTCCAAAATCTTATAGTGGCATATAAAGAAAATGTTAACTATATGTAAGAGTTTTTATTTTTAATTTTATTAAAAAAAAATAAATAAAAAAAATAAGCAGGATATTCAGTGTTGTTTTCAAAAGGGTGATGGGGACTTTTGAATGCACCTAATATTATAATGTGCTGGTGGTGAAGTGGATAGCAGCTTGAATTAAAAATTGGAGGTCTGAGTTTGTTATATACACTTACTCTTGGGAAAGATATGAATGCATTTTTTTTGTACCCTCTATCTTTGGGTTAAATAATAGTGCAGATTAGGATCTTCAACATGGTTGTTGAGCTGTCTTTTATTTTTTTTTTTTTTTTTTTTTTTTTACTTACGCACACACACGACTAGTCAAGCAGCATTCATGTATATAATGCATGTGTGTAAGTATATTGGTACTAGTTTCTCCATGTGGGATTCAGATAAGGTAGGTATATATGTGTAATTAACATTTTTTTATGTTTGGAGGTTGCCTGCATATATATATATATATATATATATATATATATATCCCACATGGACAAACTAACTAGAACTGTGATATACTTACACACACAAATTATATACATGAATGCTGCTTGACTATTCAAATGCACTTGAAAACTGCTTAACCAATGACAATGTAACAAGTCAAAAATAAAAATAAAAAAAAGGTATCATTTTTTTTTCTCCATATCTCATTCTCTAATCAAGGTTTAATAAAAACAAAACCTGTTGAATTTGTTTCTTTCTTTATTTATCCACACATACATACACACACACACATATATATATAGCATGGAATAAGCGGAATGTAAAGGACATAATTATGTCCTTTACATTCCGCTTATTCCTTGCCATAATAAAATTTTGTACCTGCAAGAATCTTTTTCAAATATATATATATATATATATATATATATATATATATATATATATATATATATATATATATATATAATAATTCAATAGGATGCTTAAAACTCCCTCCACATTAAAAAATAGGTATTAAATTTTTCTGATTCTATTTAACTGCATCAATTCATAAAACTAATAAATACAAATATAGGAAAGGAAGAGAACAGGTTATGCAAAAAAAATAAAAGCAAAACTAATGCCCCTGCCTTGCCTAAAGGCTTTACACACACACACACTGTAGAATAATGAATAGACTTGGATATGAGAGCTAAGTTCGAATTCCAGTCAATTTTGTTACATCCATTTACCCATGGGAAATGTATGAAGTCATCTCTTTTTTTTTTTTTTTTTTTTTTTTCTCCAGCTATGGTTAAATAGGATGCTAACTCTGAATCCAAAACCTGGGAAGCATTATTTGGAGAATTTGTGGCACACTATGTACACCAGTTACTGGTATTCAGCTCTTTCAAAAAGTGTGGTTGGTTTTGCACAAGCCTTCACCACTATAATCAAATCATCACGTGTGCCAGTAATCTGGCTATTTGTTTCTAAGAACTAAGTTGCTGTACTCTCAAATGTCAAAAATGACGGGAGGGGATTTCATTATATATATATATATATATATATATATATTTTTATATATAATGTCTGAACAGGAGGCATTTGGTGTTAAATTTAAATTTTGAAAAGTTGGTGCTTGCATAATTCAAAAAACATTATTTTTCATATGTCGTAGGTAAAAAATTTACTTGTACTTTTTGAGTACATTACTGAAATTCATCCTATTGCTGTTTGTCACAATTTTTTTTTTTTTTTTTTTTTTTAAGAAATGTT